TGACTTATATATATATATAAGGAATATAATGTAATATATATATAGTGATACCGATAGAAGCTCCAGGAAGCATATTGAAGCGACAGCTGCGAGGTCTGCTTGCATGAGGTAAAGCAGATTTGCTGAAGCAGGAGAGGATAGGAATGCTTGAGGCGAGGGCTTGAGATTCCATCTGTTTTTCTAATTAATTAAAGAGAATTTCAAGCCTTAACTACTTATTTCTGTAAATTAATGGTTAATTATATGAAATATATATATATATACAGGTTTTTGTACAGCAAGGGCTTAACGGGATTTAAAGTAAGAAAATTTTATTTCACGTGTGGTGAAGGTCCTGCACGGATTTTGAAGAGCATCTCAAGCTTTATTTTCCTCTAATTTTTTGTTAGTGTGGGGGTCTTGGAACAAGAAGAAGAAATAATTACACTTCATTAGTATATTTAATTACCCAAACTAAACTAATTATAAAATTATGGTTAAATATGTAACAATCAGTTATCCCTAATTCAATTATTAATGAAAACAATTATGCTCTTAATTTACCGTTAACTAATCTATGCAACCTATTTATCATCTAATGCATCCCTAATTAATACATTTATACGCTATTTATTTAGAGAGTAATTTTTAAAATGTTAAATTAATAGATTTTTAATAATCTTGACTGAGATAATCGTGGGCTAATATAAATATTATAGAAGCTGAACATGTTTTGCTCAACTCATATCCAAACAGGATTAGGCAGATCATAGCTGAGTTACATTTGGCTATAAAAATGTATTTTTTTAATAAGGTTTTATAAGAAGGTAGGCAAAGATAGGCAAAGCTTATATATATATATATATTATATATGTCTATCTTACCTGCTATGTGTATTTCATATATATATATATATATATATATATATTATTAGATACCAAAAATTAATTAAATAAACTATAACATTTATACCACCCGAATCATTTATATCACATCAATAATACCACTATTTTAACTTTTCAAAAGTGAAACACACCTTTACATGCATTGGCAAAGTGGCATATAGTCAAAAACTGAAGTTTATGTGCTAGAAATGTAAATACAAAAGAATTGAGTGGTATGTATGCAAATCTTCTAAAAAAAAATAACACTAAGAAGCACCAATTTCTCTGTTCAAATAGTCCACAAACATCCTCTTGGCACTATCCGCATCTGCAGGAGGAGGTGGGCCACTCAAGCTGGCTTGCCCTGTTAACTTTATAAATGTGCGCCGCAGGCTTCTTAGCTCGGGCAATCCAACTCTTCTCTCTATACTGATGTGGGCTTCATAGTCAAGGCCAACACAACCAAAAACAGGCAAAAGATACATTTCTAACTTTCCTAAACTCCGAAATACTCACCTTCGGCCTGAAACCCAACAAACAAGCTAAAATATACCGTAGAAGATGCAATGTATTGAAAATATGTAATTGATTTTCAATCAAAACATCCCATCTTGTAGCTCAATTCTATAGAAAGTAAGATGTTATGAATTACTATGAATAATACACAAACTGTTAAATGAGAAGGATATAGTGGGAAAGTGTTGACCAATTGAAATCTTATTTAAGCTTCCTCCGAGTGCCTGCGTTTCTACTATGGCATTGATAACCTCCTGACAAACGTCAAAAAGCAGAATATCATACTGTCATTTCTAATGAATTAATAAACAGGCTTCTGTGAACTTAAATCTACAGAGTTACCTGTGTTGCTTTGTCCAACTCGTAGAGTGAATTTGCCTCTGTGGTTCGTACCTGGAAATTTTAACATTTACATATTCTTTTCGATCAGAAACATGAATATAGATAGCTGTACCCTGTAAGATGTTGCATTATTGTTTAGTGTTTACATGAGTGCCACCACGCCTTTAATGTTCCTTCATAAATGCTAGCATACTAAAGAGCATGGAGTTCTTTCGGTTTATATTATTTGTTTGCACTGGTAAGCAAAAAATCAATACGCCTTTGGTTTAGTCTGTGCAAATATTCCATGTCCCCCGTAATATTTTGAAGATAAAATTACATGACTGTAAAGAAAGAATGGTGGGTTCATCTAAGCAATCATAGAATCAGCATTTAACAGTAGACTAATCGTGAACCAAGGAATATGAACAGCCTAACCAAAGTGTGGCAAGACTAGATTGATAGAGGCATATGAGGAATTCTGTTCAGTTATCATAGAATGCCAAGCCTTACTGACAAGGACTGGAATTTTCTAAGGAACCATACTGGTCTGGGCTAATCCAAAAAAGATCCAGTTTTATACATTAGTATTGAAGTACATTTCCAAACGGCCAGTGAGGCTTCGAAAATAAAAATGCATTGAAGATAAAGGTTTAGAATTAATATAACAATTTTGTATTATAATTGTGGGAGAGATATGTTGACTTCCATAAATATTCAAAAAGACAAATCGAGCAAATGTACCGGCAAATGTGTTAAGAATAATGGGAGAAATATATGACAGCGAGCATATCCAACCTGAATGGCTTTGATAGTAGCCAAAACTACGCAAATGTTGTTCATTTGACTTCGCAAATAAGTCCCAAAGATTGTAATATCAAAGAAGGATGTTTGGAATGATTGGCATGTCCTGTGATTCGATAAATCACAATAAGAATTACCCAAACATCGCTTGTTCATAAAACATGTTGTGTTAAAGCACCCGGAGCACCTAAATTGCTAATGGAGGACCTTTCATGATCAATCTGATAGAACCCAATGAAATTGATGAAATACAAATGAGATGCACGTAAATTAGGCTTGATTTGTGTCAACCACCATTGACATCGCTCAAACGATGCCCGATAATAAAATGGACTATGTCTATATAGTCAAAGCGTCGAAATTTCTTAAAAGGGAGACCTTCGCAGCTGATTCGATCATGCATGATTGAAATGAAAAACTATGGACAAGATGTGGCACGAATGAGGCCGATTTAATCCGATCACCATCAAGATTGCTCAAATGTTGCTTGATCAAGAAATGGACTGCATGAGCACATCCCAAATATCAAATTTATATGAAAATGACATCAATATTGCACCGGCTCCTGCATGAATATGAAATATAATATTTATTTGCTCACAAGATCGACAAAATGTATATGTGTGTCATAATTATTTGTTAAGACGATCGACAATATGGATATATATTTGTGTTTGTGTCTGCGAGTGTGATTCATTTAAAGAAATTACAAAATATCTGACATTCCACCTATTCCAGCCATACCTATTGTTGTCGCACAATCTCCATCCCCATAACGTTACTGTCAAAAAAATCAAATCAAAATATCTAACCACTCCTCTCTCATTGAGCCCATTTTTCTATTTTGATACTCACGCAACTTCCCACATTCTTCCCTATCCACTCCACCCCTCTTCACCTTACCGCTTGAACTACTGACTGCTCCGCCTCCTTCAGTCTCACCTAACCTCATCTTAGCAACCCGCTCTGAATCTCCATCTCTTTTGATTGGTCTCATACAACCCACCACCCATATTTTATGCAACTATCCCTATTCATTTGCATGTTTGAGCCAGCCCGTCGCTCCCTCTCTCATTTTCTCCTACTCTCCCTTACGAGCCGCTACCTCAAATTGCAAAAGCACCGGGTCATCTCCCCTTCCATTTCTACTGCAGACCAATGGCTCTGTCTCTTCCTATAACGCACCTGCTACCATCTCCCTCACACAAAAAGAGACGACAATTGTTAATTTTATATATTTTCCTAGCCTTGGATCTTTCACTTTCCATGATATTTGACTAAATTATTAGAAATTCATTACATTAATTAAAACATTTCTTTGATATAGGAAAATATTATTTTTAATAGATTCCATGTGGTTTATGAGAAGAAAAAGAAAAATGAGCTCATTTGAGAAACAATGTGCATCTGGGAGATCCTAAGCAATCCTGAAGCTAGTCTTGGTGCCCAAATGACCAAAATAGCCAATTATGCGCTATAACATAATTAAGCGATCGGGCGCCCAAAAACGGCATTGAAACATGCAAAATTGAGTCAAGAAGATAGGGCATAGCTCTGACCCCAGACACACACAACCTCCTTACACTATTTCAAACATATTTCACTCAATTCCTTGTCGAGGCAGATTGCAATCGTTTTAATTAAGTGATTACTAGACGATAATTATTAGAGTTTGGGAGAAATGAATGATCAACCAAGAGGTTTCACTGCCAACTAAATGAGTTTATTCTATTTATCTCTTGTGATATTATCTTTTGTAAACATGATCAAGCAATATGTATTGTTTGTTATTTTTTTTCTTAGACATTAACTAATATAATTTTCTGAGATTTAGATGTAGCATGTGTTTCATTTTCTAGTGTTATCAATGATGATTTTTTATTGTTTTATATTTCTATTTTTGTACCATGTGTTTTCCTCTAATAGATAATGACCTATTAATTATGCTCATAACTCCAAGCCATACTTTCCATCAAGGACCTCATTCAGTCGTAGATATTGGAGGTCAAAGGTATCATCATTGAAAGTGATAATGCTAATGTCATCAGTTACATGAAGGACGCAATGGCTCCTAAGACTTGGATGACTCATCCAAAGCAATGTCATACTTTTGCCTTTATTATCTCTTTTAGACAAGTTCTTTTTAGTTTTGTTCATTGGGAGCTCAATCGAGCTGCACATTTTTGTGCCCAACGGGCTCTTAGTTTTTCTTTTGATTTGATCCTTGAGTACTCGGAGTTTTTTGCCATTATCTAAAAGATGACAAGGCCGTTTTTGCAGAAATCCGAGGACTTTTTTTTTTATTTTTTGTACTAATTTTTATGCTTAATGCAATATGCACAATTCATGAAATCGGGATGCAGAGGGCAGACTCATAATGAGTATAAATCCTATTTAAGATCTTAAAAGTATTGGAATTTTTTCTCGCATTGAATCTACCACTGAGGGGTAGGTAAATTGTGCGGGAGAAAATAGAACCCCAAGTTCACAAGAGCAAGATAGCGGTCAAATTGATTGGACCATAGTACCATTTAATGAATGCACTCCTTATGTTGATTTTCAACTAGTCTAACGAACACGTGTGAAATCCAACCCGTAGAGCACCCTTGCACTAATATTACTCCAGATAAATCCTCGTTTCAGTTGTCAGTCTTTTTTTTTCGCTCGAAATTTAGGTTTGATCATTGCATCGCCTGTTCAAATAATTGTTCAACAATTAAATTACAATACTTATGAATTTAATCCTCACGGGACGATACTCTTACTCTTCACTTTATTACGTGTGTGAACATGTGCTCTCGTATGTGCGTGAATTTTCACAACAATTTTTTGGTGTTATTGATGAGTATTGCACGGCAATATTGATAATCAGATTTGCAGATTATTATTTCAAAACTTCTTTATTTTATTTTTATAATTGCTCATTATTATTATTTCTTTTATAATCTATTGTGTCGTCTTCAGCATGATAGATGCACTGTACTAAAAAAACAAGAGTGAAATCAGATGGCAGTATGGAATGGAGTAGCAAGCCTGGACATGGGTGCTCGAGTTTTGCATGACTAGAAATTACCTAATAAGCATAATAAAACTCCCAGAGCATATGATGAAGTCCATGGAGGAGAGCAAATGAGCACCGGGTACCCAGCCAACAATCCTTACACTCTAGCACAATGGAGCATACCAACTTTACAAGGAATCAGCACCAGTATAGTCCATACGCCAGCACATACAATTTAGGATGGAGAAATCCCCCCAATTTCTCCTGAAAGAACTCCCAGAATGAGCACAGCCTGGTGGTTTTCAACAACCATTGAGCTATCTCAAGCTAGGAAGATATCGACGGATTGAAAACTCTCAGTAGAAAACTAAAGACTCGACTGTGATAAACAAAATAGTTCGGTTAACACAGATTATGAACTGGTTCATGGCACAGACAAATGCAGACAATATGCAGCCATTTATCTAGAAGGTATTGCTAAGTGCAACTAGGGAGCATTGCTCAACAATTATCCCACAAACAACCAGGTGTATTCCCAAGAAATACAGAGAACAATCCAGGTGAGGATGTGATCGCTACCACCTAAAAAATTAAAAAACTAAAAAAACGAATGGGCCAGAAAAAAACTCTCTAGTGAAGAGCTTGAGGAAGAGATGCAACCTAAGTCAAGAGGATTTCCAAATGATCCATAAAGATACGCACCTCCGCTATAAAATGCTAAAAGGCTCAAGGGAGAAAGTGTCCTTAAGACATTCAGAATGAAGGAGCATCCCGTGGAGAATGTTGATGACTTTTGAGGGTTGAAAGGCTAGAAACTTAAGTCATGGGAGCTAGCAATAAGTACAGTTGCTTCATTGCAGAGATAGTTTTAGCAGATTACCTGATGATCATATCAAGCGATAGCGGATTGAAAGAAGTCTTCTTAATAGCTATCAAGAAGCCATTCAAATTTCAAGCACAAGAAGCGTGAGAACACTCAGCTTATTCCATCCACAAGTCTTGCAATACAATTACATCGATTGTCAAGCCTTCTAAAATATACTATTTTTTAGTGTCAAGTTGAAGATTAAATCAAGCGTTGGATACGAGGCAACCCAACAGAGTTAAACTGAAAAATCTTAAACAAAGTGCCAAACTTTCTAACTTCTTCATTTACTTATTTTATTATTTATCTCATTTTATTTTGGTAGTTTCATTCTGCTTTTGTTGTGTTAGGAAGAAAAAAGAAGATGTATGTGAGAGTAGTACAAGCAAATTCACATACACTAGGAGAAGAAAAAGAGTAGCATCGCCACGCTGAGAAGCTATTATCGCCTATTACTTGTGTAATATTTGCTACTATGTATTGATTTTTATTCATTTGGAAAAATGCAAGGTTGAAGTGTAAGGGGTTAGCAAGTATTGTTATGTTTTATTTGAAGTTGTGATATTTGTGTTTTTTATCCTGTTAACACTATCCCATTTTGATTATATTCACTTAAAATTGTCACTTTATCTAGCTAGTTATTTCTAGTACTTTCATTTGCTTTCATTTGCTTTACTTATAGCATAATTTATTTTAAGGGAGGAGTTGCTTGAATCTAGTCTTTTATTTTATTTTTTTCTTTATTGTAGCAAATAATTACATTATAAGATTTTCTTTTTAACACACTGCCAGCTATTTGTAATTGATAATAGAAATAGGAACAGCTAGTTATTTATGCTTAATGTATATGATTGCTTAGATAAATTAGTTATATTTTTTATTTAATATATTGCATACATACTAAATTATTCATTGGCATATTGATTACATTGCTTTGTTATATTCACAAAAAATATATAGATTTAAAATAAGCCAAGTAAACATGTTGATGCGTATACCCATGAATCATGGGCTAGTTTAACATTTACATCTAGTTGGTTATATAACATGAAAATAATAAGTAACAGATTTTAGACAAAAGATTTGTGAACTGGGCATGTTTAACAACAAGAAAAAAAGTGAAAAAAAATATGAGTTGTCATCAAGCAAAAAAAAAGAATGAGTTACCATCAAAAAGAAAATGTAAATAATTAAAAAGTGGGTGAGAGTTATCAATTGTATTGTAGAAATATATTATGATGTTTGGAGTGTTATATGTGGGAGCCTTATTATGGCAAGTTGGGGCATCCCAGCGCTTGGAGTGGTGCCCCAACTCCAGTGGGGGTGCCTAAGATTCCAACACCGTGCTTTCGGAACTGAGAGCAAGAAATTGCGTCGCCAATGAGAGGTGCAGCAATGTTGGGGTGTCAAAAGTTAACCTGACATGCCAATATGACTCGAACTCGACTCAAAAAACTCATGTTAGAGTATAATCGAATATTTTTCAAATCAAGTTCAGGTCAGAGAATTCTACCTTTTTATTATTCGGGTCAAATGTGGGTTGAACCCGAAACCCAAACATGACCCAAATAAACACAAAATTCTGGGTTAGTGGGTCACGGTCGGGTTTGTGTCTTAGTTCTAGACCTATTTATTATTTGAGTCGGATCCGAACCCGACCCGCTGATCCAAATTAACACACCTACAACCATGAACACTTGGGGGTAACGCCCCGGCGCTAGCAACTATTTTTGGCAATTCGGGACTTTAATGCGGAAGTCTGAGACCGCCTGCACGTGTTGAAGGGTTGGACTTTGAAGTTCTTGTGAGGAAGAGTTGGAGTGTTTATTAGTTTTAAAGTGTGTAGAGGCATGAATGTGGCGTAATTTATACAATTCTACTTGTTTTTCAGAGTGAATTTTTTTGTGTAGTGTGGCTCCGTGTTTTTTCCTGTTCTTGAGTTTTTACACATTAAATCTTAGTACTCTGTGTTTTTTGTGATTTCTTGTTTTGTGTGCTTTTGTTCAAAGTTTTTCTTTGATTCTCTCAAATCGTTCTTCGCGGTTTTTACCAACCAATGGTATCAGAGAGGAATTTCCTAAAGATCTTTAGTTCGAATGGGCGCAATGCCGATGAAACGAGGTATAAGTTTGAGAAGTTCAATGATACAAAACTTGTTTTCTGGAAAGGGCAAAATGAAGATTTATTATATCAAAAGTAATTATACTTTGTCAATAAATGGAATCACCAAGAAGTTAGAATTGATGACTCCAGAAGAATGGAAATTTATTGATCGAACAACACTAATTTTAATCAAACTTTCACTTTCCTCTTTTGTTACTAGGGATGTCAAAATATGATCCGACAAGACAGTACAACTCGAACACGACTTGAAAATTTTGGGTTCGGATTGACCAGAATATTTTTCAAGTCGCGTTTAGTCAGAGAATTCAACCCGTTTATTATTCAGGTCATGTTCGGGTCAAATCCTTCTTGGGTCGGACCCCAACCCGACCCATGACCCAAATTGACATCCCTATGTGTCAAAAATTAACCCAACACGTCAATATAACTCGAACTTAACTCAAAAAATCTAGGTTCTTGTTGACTTGAATATTTTTCGAATCGGGTTCGGATTAGAGAATTCAACATATTTATTATTCGGGTCGAGTTCGAGTTGACCCGATTCTAGTCGAGTCATTTTCAGGTCATTTTCAAGTCAGACCCCAACCTGACCCGCCGACCCGAATTGACACATCTACCTGTTGCTTTCAATATTGAATGAGAACACTATTGTTGATCTTAAGACTGCACCAACAAGGATTTATGCAGCATTTGGCTTCAAACAAAATTTTTCTAATGAAGATATTATTGAATATGAAGATGGTAGATGGTAGCTCACAGCTGAGCACTTAAATAAATTCAACACTTTGACAAACCAATTGTCTTTTGTTGGCTTAAAATTTGATGACACGGTTAAGACATTGTTACTCTTATCTTCATTGTTTGATAGTTGGGAGGACTAGTTATTGTGGTGAGTAACTTCAAAAAACATGGAGTTGAACTTTGAAGATATTGTAGATTTAGTGTCGAATGAAGAAGTTCACAAGAATGCGAGCAGTGAAACTTAAAATTTTGCTCTGAATGTTGATACTAAAAAAAGGAACCTGGACAAAAACACAGGCAAAGGATGATTCAAGTCTAGGAAAGTCCAGGTCAGTGAGGAAAAAAAACAAAGATGAATGTTAAACTTACGTGAACACGTGTCACTTTAAGAAAGACTGTAAAGCTCCGAAGAAGCCTAATTTGGAGGTCAAGATAGAAAAACTATATATAATGTCTTCACAAATGAACTCCAATGTGTCCCTTATTTTATTCATAGATAGATAGACGTTAAAAAACTATACTCAATTTAATTTATGAAAGGTACATTTGAGAGAGAATAAAGTCTGCAGTATTGTAGCAAAGTGTTATGTTGATATCAAGTTATCAAATGGATCAGTCTGGAAGCTCAATGAAATTAGACATGTTCCTTGTTTGAAATGAAATTTACTTAATGTGAGTAACTCGCATAGTCAGAGTATGTGATTACTTTCAAAAGCGATTCATGGAAGATGACCAAAGGTACACTTTTTTTCTTAAGCACAAACAATCCAAGCTTATTTTCAGTTGTCATTATTTAACAAAGCTGCTCTAATGTCTCTCGAATATAATCATCTCTCAATTTAGTTAATCTAATTTTCACCACAATTAGCATGTATATCAATAACCTCATCGTCCAAAACTTAGATCTCAATATAGAATGCCTGGCTATAGTTATAAAAAAAATTATCTGTCTTTGATATTCATCAATTTTTTTAATAATAGATCCTTAATGTAGAAACATATGACATAATGTTATCACTTTATTTTCTATTAATATTAGTTGATAATTAATAATATCTCGTGGACTCCACAAATTTGTTCATGGACCTCTCTCTAAATGAATGAGAGAGCATTTGTTGACATTTTGTGTCAAATTTTTTAAGGAAATATTAAGATTGTAAATAAGACCTCACCAAGAGATTTCGTTCTCATTTTAAGAGGATTTTAAGATCTAGGATTTGAAGTAATCCATAGAGGCAAACCCCTATAGTTAATCATTCTTCTCAATAATGGGAAAACACTTTAAATTAAGGTTAGTCGTTAGAGCATTGATCGCTCAACATATAGTAGCAAAACTTAGGATTTTTATATTATGAAATTTATCACTTTGAGCCTAAGAGCGAAAGGTGGGGCGATGATAACGAATTTGATTGAGATTCCATGGTATTTTCATTCTTGTGTATCGCGGACTTTGGTCTATTTGATCAGAGAAGATAGTTGACCCAATATGAGTTGCTTCAGTCAACCTCAATTAAGAGAGAGTTTTGTATTATATTAAATATATCTTATGATTTATATTTTGAAGGAGAGGAAGTTAGTGAAAAACATATGAGCTATAACAGTGACCGTAATATAAGAAAACTTATCTGATCAAACCACTTGGTTCAAGGGCTCTAGTTGAAACTGCTATATATGAAGCCGATTGACTAAATCATGCTAATAGAGAACCCAAGTCATGTTCTTATTGGAATTAAGAAAAAAAAAAGAATTAAGAGAAAAAAAAGTGTAGATCCAAAGTATCATGGATGGATGTTATACAAAATTCATTTAACTCCTAATGTAGCACTCAAAAAGGATAAGAGAAAAGGAATTTATAAAGTCTATCACTGATTTGGATAAACCTGATGATCATCATGATTATCGAGGTTTAAACTTGATCATAACGTTATATAATGTACTTGATTACTTCTATATATAAAAATGATTAAATATTCATAGCATATAAAACGATATCATTATAAGTCGGCAAGACACTAGGGATGTTGTTATAGACAACAAGCTGCACATTCAAAAGAGATGGGTAAAATTTGGCAAGCACCACAAAAATTGAGCTTGAATAATTTAAATTTGGGAAATGAGGTTGCTTGATCTTCAGGTTGGCTAGACTTGTTGAAGAGTAGTCACAATATTAATCCCATCAATGGGATTCATGTACATGTGCATTCATAAATAGTTAGCATGCATTGTATAACATTTCAATTGGAAATTGATGAGTTTCTCTAAATAAGTTTTGAAAATGTTTCTCACAAATTCACTAATAATACTTACATTCTGTGTAGCAATAGTAGGCTGAAGAACTCTAATATCTCTTGTTTTTGAATCCACCATTCTAGTCAGATAAGAAACTGCATCTGAAATAACTGGAGATGATTGCTCAACTCCATCTGCAAAACAGTCAAGAAAACAGAACTTATTTAGGAAACTAGATGGAGAAAAGAATCCTGCAAGGGTCGGTGAAGCATTTAGACAGAACTTGATCAGAGTTAACGATAAATAGTATCTCCAGGGGCTTAAATGTATGTGGCAACCTCAACATTGAGCTTCAGAAAAAAAAAAGAAACAACTAAGGGGCTCTTGATTGGCTGCAAAAGAGTTGTATTGTATTCTTTTTGCAGGAGTCTTGAGAATTCAGGCATTTGATAGATAGAATTTCAAATGCAGTGTAAAATAACAGTGCATTTGGAATTTACTCATTGGTTCATTTCTGTGTATTTAGAATTCGATGAATTTGGGCGAATTCCAAACACAAGGCTCCATGTAAAGTGTCATCGACCTCTTGCCACAGGCAACTGCACGTCGCCGCCACCTGCAACTAATAGTCGCTGCCGTCACCGCCACCGCTAATGCTCATATTTTACATTGAACTCAGTATTCTTCAAACCAAACAACAAAATGTAAGATGTTGTGTTTATTTTACATTGAACCAAACACTTCAAAAGTAATCCAAATACAGTACATTACCTATATACTGAATTCATTTTATACTACATTAACTTCTAAGCAGACCAAACAGCTCATAAATGAGTAGAAGTTTGTGATTGTTAGAAGAGAAGTAAAAATATGTGCAAAAGAATGCATTTAAATCAAACCCGTCATTCATTGCCAACCACTTTGTTAGAAATTTAGAAATTTATAAAACAGACAGTAATAGGGGTCGGCCTTTCTTTGTTTAGCCTTAGATGAACTCTTCCAAAATCCACATAAAAAAATACTAAGGAGCACCATATAGATACAGCTACTAATCAAATTACGGGTCCATAGAAAGCTTCATTTAAGAATAAAGCTCAATAAAATACTTAAGTTACAGCAGCAACAATATACTCGCACTAACAGCCAAAAAACAATATTAAGAACAAAAACTGCAAAATTTTACAGGGAAAATGTTAAAGAAGACTCAACATATATAAGACATTGATAAGTCCTGTTTTACCCAAGAAGAAAAATGCACAAGCTTAAGTTTCATGAGTTCCATAAGAGATCAATCATTTTTTATCACATAAACGGCTGAATGCTAAAAAGAAATAACAAGTATATGGCGTGAGCAAATATAGAAGGACTTTCAAGTTAAGTATGTATTACCTAGAGAGGGAAACAATTCAAAAAGGGGGCAATCCCAGCGATTCCGCCGATCAGGCCTCTCAAATCTCCTCACAAGATCATCAAATCTGCAAGGTGTGTTCTCTCAGTTATTCCAAGAAAGACCAAGATAACCTTCTAACTTAACTTTAGTAAACAATTGGACAATAAAACCCATATCGTACAAATTTCTCGACGTATAAAATAAATTGACTCTGCTAATATTGACTATATCAACTTAGATCATGTAACAAAAGGCAATTATTTGGGAGACTTTTTGTTTGAAACTACAGACTAAACAAACCCCACCCAGGAGTATGAACTCTATTCCACCATCTCTATCTCGATCAATAGGAAAAGTATTTGTTGATCCACAAACCCAAGCTCACAAAGCAACCCCCGTTACTAGCTTAGGTTCCACACCCCATCTTCATCCACTATAGGAGAAGCTCATATTAGCATTTAATATTTGCGTAGGCTTTTTCCAACGCAAAAAATTAGCGTCTGATTTGCAACTGTTAAGCGTCAAATAATAAATTTTAATATTTGCATCGGATTTTGCTCCCACTATGCGTCCAAAAAATCGATGGATAAATTATGCTAAAAGAGGCAAAAACTGTTTTGGCGTTGCGACGGATTTTGCGTCGAATTAACGTCCAAAAAATCGATGCAAATCTTTTACTAATCAGCGTCAAACTATTTTCGACGCAAATTAGACGGAAATTGGGCGCAAATGACCTAATAAACTCAACCCATGCGCCTAAATTTCATTTCTCATCTCCCACATCCCGCGCGCGTCTCTTCTCCTCTTCTGCCCAAAATCCTCCCAAGCTTCCTCTCTCCCCTTTCCCTCTCAACTTCCCTTCTCCTTTTCAATTTTGTTGAAAACCGTCTCCTTCTTGAACGAAGTTTCGCGAAACAATCGCCATTAGAGCTAGCCACAAAGGTGACAACGTCCGGCGCTTCAAGCTCGTAGAGACGACCAAAATCCCTCTAATCAGAAAGCATTGATGAATGTCAGTCTATTTGTGCCACTATTTTCATTTATTTGTGGTATGCATGTAAATATTAAAGTTCAGGTGTCAGGTTTGTATATACATAAGAATTGAGTGATATTTATGAATAAAATGCATAGGTAATGTGATATGTATGTATAAATGGAAGTTTTGGTTTTAGATGTGTATACACATAAGAATTCAGTGGAATGCATGTACATATTGAAGTTTAGGTGTTCGGTTAGTAAATACAGAAGAAGTGAGTAATATGTATTATTTAAATGAATAGGTAATGTGGTATGTATTTATAAATTAAAATTTTGGTGTTAGGTATGTATATACATAAGAGTTTTGTGGTATGCATGTAAATATTGAAGTTTAGATGTTAGGTTTGTACATACATAATAATTGAGTGATATGTATTAATTAAATGCACAGGTAATGTGGTATGTATGTAAAAATTAAAGTTTAGGTCATAGGTGTGTACATACATAAGAATTGAGTGATATTGGTGATGTAGTATGTTTGTAATAATTGAAATTTTGGTGTTAGATACGTATATACATAAAAGTTCAGTGGTATGTATGTAAAAATTGATGATGATATAAGGATATTGTTGTTAGTAGAATTAGAGTTGGTTGAAGGGGAGGAATGCATGCATCAATCTAGTTTATTGTTCAAAGTGATGGTGATACTGATGGGGATGCTATTAATAGAATTCAAGTTGGTTGGTTGAATTGGAGGAATGCATCTGGTCCTGTTCACATTGATGGTGATATAGATGGGAATGTTATTAGTAGAATTTACATTGGTTGATTGAAATGGAGGAATGCATCTGGTCTATTATTTACAAAATAAACCACATCAAAGAAGTGTCTTATATATGGTTGACCAAGTAGTGTCGACTTCACCAGATAAAGCAAGCTACTTAAAAGAGGTGTTTGTGGTCATTTTCTTCGATGTGAAGCTTGAGCGGATATTTCCTCTTGGTTTCTTCGACTCTATGGAGCATATGTCTATACATCTATGTTAGAAGGCTACACTGAGGATCCAGTGCAGTACAGATGGATGTATCCCTTCAAGAGATGTCTTCCTGATGCATACATTACAAGTAGCATTTTATTTCACACTAAACGTATTTCACACTAAACGACCACCAACCATGCTCAAAGTAAAACTTATGTGTTGCAGGTTTTAAATAAAATAAAATAAACTATTAAGAAAAAGCACATCCTGAGGTGATCGATCCGCAAAACATATATGTTGTAGGAAACGTAACTCTCTGCTCATATTATTTTGAGCAATGCTATCAAAGATTCCATATTGTATGAGACATGTCTTCACGCCCAGAATTATTCGTATATTAAATATAATGTGAGCTATCAGGGAGGCATGACACAATAATTAAGAGATAAAGAGATTCGGGCAGTAGCAATGTACATCCTAGTGAACTGTGACAAAGTTCAGTCATTTATGTAGTAAAATTCACAATCTCTAAAGTTAATACATACTGTCATTTCTTATTGAGAATGTTAGTAATTATATATTGAGTAACTCAAAAATAGAATTAACAATATTGCGAGCAGATTATTTATCGACGGCTTGGATATGGAAGATGAGTCGGTGATAAGTAGAAAGGTCGAAGCAGAATTTCCAATATGGATCAAATTATGCGTACATATAATGAACACTTCTAATCACATGTGCGTAATATGATCGTCGCACTTAAAGTTACACTAATGGTACCTCTCTATTTGTTATAGATTCACAATACAGCCAACGGAATCACGGATCAGAAATTATTAGATCTTGTTTATAGGTCATAAAGTACTGTAACTACATGGCAGATACTTGATGTAAACGGTTATACATTTCATACGAGTTTTTGGTGTAAAGAGAAGAAGATATATAACTATGGTGTCGCTGTCAAAGGAAACACACACACAGATGGCGAGATTTTCTATTACGGCGTACTTGACTAAGTCATTCAATTGCAATATCCAGGCAATGTCGGTTACATGGTGTACTTGTTCAGCTGTCAGAGGTTCAACCTTGTTTCGAATCAAGGAATCTGAACACTCACATCATATGATATCATTGAGGTCAAATTTAACAGACGATATGCAAAATTTGATCATTTTTGTTCAAACACGCTAAGCTACACAGATTTACTGCATTGAATACCCTAGTAGATTAAGTAAGGGATAAGGTTGATTGGGCTATAGTTATGAAAATAAACCAAAGAAGACTGTTGAATTGCATAGTTCTATAGAACCAATTCACCAAAAGGAAAGTATGTTAGACTTTCTGACACAAATGCTGAAATGTTTGCGCTAGAGGATACCAGAAGGATTTTTGAAGATGTTGCTCATGATTTGGATGAGGATGATGAAGAGAGTGAAGAGGATATTGTAGATTTATCTTCGACGGCTACGCAAACTTTAAATTAGTTGTTAGTACTGCTACTTTTGCTCTTTTATTTTTGTTGTTATTAGGCATAGCTTTTACTCATGCTTTTCTTGTTTTTAGACAATTGCTACTTGTGTCTTATATTTACTGCATCGTTTCTTTCTATTTATGATTATTTTTTTCGCTAGTACTAATCTTTTTTATGTCATTCCTTTGCTTGCAAATGGAAACAAGTGGTACAGGTGGTCAACCACCTCATAGACCCCATGTTTTAGGGACCGCTGAGAGCACCTACCGCAGCAGGAAGAGTTCTACTCCTGTCGGCTGTCGCTGCTTCCACTATTACTACACCTTCTCTGGCACCTTCCCTCGCACCTGCTGCTGCTACACCTTCTGTGGCACCTCTTCCCACACTGACTGTTGTTATACCTCCTGTGGCACCTCCTCCCGCACCCGCTGCCGCCCCTCCAGTGACATCTACTCCAACACCCAAAGTTGCCTCATCTTCTCTGATGCTTGCTCCTTCCGGACCTAATCCCCCATCTGCTGCTGGTACACCTCTTGAACCTGGTATATTGACCCTTGCACCCCCACCCCACCCCACCCCAAGCTAAGGGTACATTTACTACTAGAGGGGAACTCGTAAGTTATTTTAAACTTTGTATTATATTTTTTGTAACTAATTTGTTTCTAAAAAAGATTCATTCCCCACAAGTTTTTCGTCACTTTGTATCACAAAGATTATCAGGAGCATGTACGATGAACCCTATCTATCATAGAAGAAGATACATGCAGCCACTCAGGACTTATGTTTCAGGATGCTTAAGGTACGATCATGTAATTTGAATCAGATTTGTAAATTTGATTTATTTTTTTTTACACTAGCACATCGATTTTTTCTTAAGTTGCAGAGGTCTTTCACCTTGCTCCCAGAGCACCACCAGCAAATCTGTCGAATCTTCAAGATTCGGGGCAGGCATCGCCTTGTCGACATGTTCGAGACAGCCCACTAGAGGGGCAAGCAGCCATCCAAGATTGGTGAGGGGCTCTGAGGTCAGTTGCTCGGAGCTTGGGCCTGGCTGGTTAAGAGTTTTTTAGTTATTTGAACATTGATTAAATTTTTGGATGATCAAATTCTTTAGCAATAACCATTTTTGTACGTTACACATACAAAGGAGTTAAGTCGTGCTACCTCCATTGCGGAGCTGCATGTCCGAACTCATCAACATTCGAGGACTGCGCAATGAGTTTCAAAACATTATCAGCGGGCTATTGTAAGTTAAAAGCCTTAAATTAAAAGTTTATTTTGACTCTAACTATTGAAGGTGTCAATTAAAGGCTGATTTTCATTATGCAGGAAGGTTCGAGTAGCTCCGGGAGAGGCGGTTGGCCTCTCAGGCCTAGACTTCCGCCAGCAGCAATGGTAGTCAGTCTACCACTGCGCACTCGAGTACAATCTTTGGGCCCATACGACAAGAAGGAAGATGGGGAGGGTTTATGACCATGGAACAAAGGGCATAACCTTCAAGGCTGAGCTCTCTCGTGATCCTGTTATTAATTGCCCAGGCTCCTCACAACCAAACCAGGAGGCTCTTGCCAGGCAGGTAGCTGCAATGAGCGAAGAGATCCGTCAGTTGGACGAGCAGATGCTAGAAGGCCAACATAGGTCGACGATTCTATAGCGCGCATGACATATACCTTAGCAAATAGCAGAGGCAAGCAATTGATGACATCCGTGCAGGAGCAGGATGGAGATGATAAGTAGTTTTTTTTTTATGTTTTATTTTATTTGTAAGCGTTATGTTGAACATTTGTTGTGAAATTTTCTGAATTAACTTTACTATTCTTATTTGAGACCAATTGTAATAGTATTTTTCTTCTATTAATGACAATATTTAGATATTTAATCTGTGATATGGATATGTTTAATGTGGTATGTAATATAAAGTGTGTTTTTGTGCGGTTATGAAAATGTAAATGGTATTCTAAATTATTTTTTGTGTATTACAAGTTTGCATCGAATTTACGTTAGTTTTCGGACGTAAAATCTGATGTTACATCCACAATTAGATTTCGTCGTTCTATGATATTTTCCAACATAAATTAGACGGTAATCTGACGCTAATATTCATCGTCTGATATTTTCATGCGCAAATTTCGGCACACGTTTCATATAAATAAATTCGACGCAATGACGATACAAAAACCGATGTAAGTTATTTACATCAACGTAAATTAAACGGAAATAACATTACCGATCCCCAAATTAACGTCGGAAAAAATCAAAAGTAAATCAGATGCAAATTCGATAATAACCCTTAAATATCGACGGATTTGCGTCTGATTTACATCTGATATGTCCTACGCAAATATGCTTAATTCCTGCAGTGATCCCTATCAATTAGAAAAGGGTTTGCTCTCTGTAAGTCCTACATGGTCACATAATAATGTTAGTTACTAAGCACAAACCCAGACACAATAAGATAAATGGACTTGTCAAGAAAACTCTTGATCAACATGTTTCATAAAGTGAGTTTTCGACCTAACAAAGAATACGAGATCTAAATGAACCAATGTGATATATGATAAAAAAATTTTAACCTTTTCAAAAACAATAAACTTAGCGAAAACTACCAAGATTTTTGCAACACAGAAAAATTGATACAAAGAGCTTCAGGAACCTTAAAATTATATCAAATACTCACATCTTAATATCATATGAAGCTTCCTCATTTTCCCCACGCTTATTGTTCCACTCCCTGCAGTAGTTCTCTCCAGTATCACAATAAAGCTGAAAGAGTGAATGCGGAAAATGCCACAAAATTTAGTCAATTTGTAATCTAACTGCACTAGTACATATTAATAAAGTAATGTGTGCATTAATTTGTACGCCTTGGAAAATGAAAAAAAAAATGAAGAAAAGAAATAATTTTGAGGCTTTCCATACTCCACGACCGTAACGGTCCACATTCGAATGAAAGACAACAGATTTGCTTTCTTCTATTTCATATGATTTCATTCAGTTCCAGCCCTTTTATACCGTGAAGGAAAACAACTATTTCTTATTATCCTCAATTGAAAACATAAGTTACATATTTATATACACTCCAATTTCGATGGATTAGAAATATCTCTAATGTAAGAAAGAACCTATAATTAAATCTCCTCTAATTAGTTTACCTAATATAAAAAATATATTTAATAGATTTCCTATATTCAAGCTTCCTAATATACAAACATTAGATTTAGTACTTTCCAAAAACACTGCCCCTCAAGCTAGAGCATAAATATTTAACATGCTCGGCTTGTTACAAATATAGGTGATCCTAGCTCCATTAAGGTACTTCGGAAAGATGTCCCCTAGTTGTTCCACAGTCTTTACATGAGCTATAGAAATCAAGTTATGTTGAATCTTTTCACGAACAAAATGACAATCTATCCTAATGAACTTAATTTGTTCATGGAAAACAAGAATTGAAGCAATATGAATTGTAGCTTGATTTTCATACAACTTTGTTGAAAATGTCATCTTAAAACTCACTTTAGTCAAGATATGGGAGACTCGCATCAATTTACTGGAAGTTTGTGTCATTGCCCAATACTCAAGTTCTACACTGGATACATTGGATCACGACAATACATTGTGTTTCTTACTCTTCCATGAGACCAAATTGCTATCATCAAAACCACAATATCCCCTATTAGATCTTTGACTAATCTTGGAACTTGACTAATCTGCATCAGAGAAACATTTAATATTTTTATGGTCATGATTTTGATATAAAATATCTTGTACTGGAGCTCCATTGAGGTAGCACAGTATCTATTACAAAGTTGACCAATGATAGATTGTGACGGAAAAGATGAAATGACTTATAAGTGCTAACTGAATAACAATGTCAGAGCAAGTCCCTGCGAGGTAGTTTAATTTTCACACTAGCTTCCCATACCATTCATCATTAAAAAAGGGTCTCCATCTTTGGTAAGTTGATGATTAGGAAGAACCGAAGTACAGCATAGTTTGACCAATAATTTCTCAAATTCGCTAACAAATCCAAAACCTACTCCGTGGAGAAGGCAAGATACCCTTTTGCTCCTTGATATCTCAATCACCAACACGTACTTCAAAGAACTCAGATCTTTAGTGTTAAAATGATTATGAGGAAATGATTTCAATTATAAGATTCCCTGCATATCGTTTTCTAATAATATCATCAACATAAACCACCAATGGAAAGATCTCAGAAACAAATTGCTTACAGAATACAGTGAGATCCCTTTAACTTTTCTGCATCTCAAAATTCTACTGTTTGGCTAAATCTTTCAAATTATTCCTGGGAGCTTTGCATCAATCTATATAATGACTTCCAAAGATGACATACTTCCGTAGACCCCCCCTGAGCAACAAACCTAGGAGCTTGCTCCACATATACCTCTTCTTAAAAATCACCATGCAGAAAGGTATTCTTCACATCAAACTAGTGCAGGGGTCATTTATTCATTGCGGCCAAAAAAAAGAGAAACGAACTGAATTCAACTATCAGAGAAAATGTGTCCAAGTAGTCAAACCCATAAGTTTAAGCATAACACTTAGCAACCAACTGAGCTTTAAGGAAAGTACAGATCCATGAGAATTAAACTTAATTGCAAAGACAAATTTACAACCAACACTCTTCTTGCCAGAAGGTAGTTCAATTAGTTCCCATGTTTCATTTTAAGACATTCATTTCATCAAGCAATATTGCCTACCACCTAGAATGGGATAGGGCTCGCTAAATAGATTTTGGGACCTCAATAGAGTCAATAAAAACAGTAAATGAGCACAAAGTAGATGATAATTGGTTATAATTAGCACAAGAGGAAATGGAATAGGCACATTGATGTTTACATCTTTGAAGAGCAATAGGTAAATCAAGGTCACTAAAATGAGGATCTACAAAAAATGATATCGATGCCAAACTAGGATTAGGGGAACAAAGACTTCTAGAGTAAACATTAATGATAGGTGGTCTAGGCTAGGCGTTGGCGGTGGAGGTGAAGGTGGAGCTGGAGTAAGATCTGAACTTATGATGTCATGCATCAACCAACTCATCAAAATCTTGTGAGGATTTAGGCAACGATGAATCAACAAAGAATGGGTTTAGAAGAGGTGGAAATCGTACGATGGGCCAACGACCTGCAACTTTTTTTCCATCATAATATTGCATTTGCTGAGGAATGAAACTGTGCAGAACGGACTCAGGAAATCGTGATGGTCTACATGTGGTGGGATACAGTTTCCTGAGACCATTACGATTTTCTGAGACCGTTCAGCACAGTTTCCTTCCTCAGCAAATGCAACATCATGATGGGAAAAGAGTTGCGGGTCGTTGGCCCGGGTGAATTTCGTGGGCCAGTAGAGATCCCTTTTCCAGTTGGATCAGTGTTAGTACTTAAGGAAAACAGAGCCAATCTGACAAAACACTGTATTCTAGGAGTGTCACGGAGGAGAGTATCCATCACTTTCAGAAAGATGGATGACAACAAAGCACCGTTTGGATACTGTCCTGACCCGGAACTTGAAGGGTTATAGTCTCTGGAGTTGTGAGACAGGACACCTCTAAGTGTGTATTAGGGGACTTTTGTCAAGTGATATCCAAAGTCAAAACAATCCAAACCAACCAATTTAAATCCAAATTTTGACCCGGCGAGGTCGAGCCTTCTCAGTCTATCGTCATTGTCGTCTTTCCTCGGGCCAAAGTCTCCTTCCACAGGAACATTGGTCCTCCATTTCACATGGAAGAGGTTATTTGGTTTTACTTGCATATAACTGCACTCTTCTTGGTTCTCTGTCTTCCTTGACGTAAATCTTTCGTTGGTAGTCTCCAAATTTTGACGTAAATCCATTGTTAGTGGTCCCTAAATTTCGACGTAAATCACTTATTAGTGGTCCCTAAATTTCAACGTAAATCTCTTGTTGGTTGTCTTTATATTTCGACGCAAATCTCTTGTTGATGGTCTCTATATTTCTATGTAAATCACTTGTTGATGGTCCCTAAATTCCGACGTAAATCTCTTGTTGGCGGTCGCTAAATTTCGATGTAAATCCCATGTTGGTGATCTCTAAATTTCAACGTAAATCTCTTAAAAGTGGTCCCTATATTTTGACGCAAATCCCTTGTTGGTAGTCTCTATATTTCACCGTAAATCCCTTATTGTAAGTCCCTAAATTTTAGCGTAAACCCCTTATTGGTGGTTCTTTTCTGTCATAAATCCCTTGTTGGTGGTCATCTTTATGGCGTAAACCCCTTGTTTGTGGCCCTCTTCTGGCGTAAATTCATTGTTGGCGGCCGTCTCTTTTGTCATAAATCCCATGTTGGCAGCCTCGAACTTCCTTTCTCAAACTGATATCTTCACTCAATTAAATTTATAACAATCAAATCAAATGATGCAAGCAAAACAATCAAACAACGCAAACATGTGGCGAATCCCTTCATCCCCAGCGGAAACATTTGACGATCTTCAGTAAGTTATTGTCCTTGGGTTGGGAAATCCTTAGTGAAAAGCCCCAGCTCAAATTTAACCCTAACTCTAGATCGATTTGTTCTAAGTATGATATGCTTAGATATTTTTTTTTATTGTGTTTGTCACTTCGGTCAACACCAAGATGTACGGTGTGTTTGTTCAGCACGCCACACCTATTTGGGGTTCGTTTGTTAACCTCATTTTCAGTGAGGTCTTAGTCTCCTATTCCTAGAACACAGGATCTAGTTTTAAAAGTTCTTTGTTGACTATCATAACGGACTAGTAATGGAGCTCACCTCCCATAGAACTTTGAGTCACTTCTTGACTCATTTTTGTGCAGACCTCATATGAGTAGTTTGTTAGTCAATTTTTTTTTTATTTTGAAAATTGAAAATAATTTTGAAATTTAATTTAATATAAGAAGTATATAGTTTGGGTTTTATAAGCACTATGTTTTAATTTTGGAAAAATAAAACCAAATAAATCTCATTAGTCCAATAATTTGCATAATCGCATTTGATACCGCGAATATTACACCTTCCCGAAAGAGAAGCGTATACTTCGGCGATGGACTCAATCTTGCAAATTAAGAGATTTGTGACATCCGTTTGGTCTGCAAACCTTTCACGTGTGACTGACAAGTTCCCATACATAATATAAAGATTAAGTAGGGTATATTTTACGTGGGTTTCAAGTTCCCTATAGAGGCAAACCCCTATAGTTAATTACATCCCAAATGACGGGGTTCATTTGAGAAAATCTCGATGATGATCGGAGGTACTAGTCTTCAAGAATTCAAAGTTTAGGTTTCCACGGTAGGACGTGGAAAAGCAAGTGGGGGTGGCTCAAATAGGAACAGTTATTTTCAGTAGTTCAAAAGAAGGAAAAGGTAAGAGATATCATAGATCCTGAGAAGAAACATCAGTGACTTCTCAAACTATCCTAATGTGTGGCTGAGTTTTCGAGACAATATTATTTGAGTGTTAAATCCTATCAACTTTATTATTTGGGACTTACGCTTGCATAATATATGATTATGCAAATAGCCCGCAGAGATAAAAGAGTTTACGTTGTACCATACGACAACCTCAGAACCTAAGGCGAGTTAGGACTTACGCTGCACATAATGGTTGTACATGAGGCTAAAGAGGGTGTGAGGATTTATGTCGCGCTGTGCGAGCTACCTCGAAGTCCTATGGATTGTTATTTAGACAAAGGCGAGAGAGATTGTTAAAGATCCTCTTGTTGCTTGATCCAAGCTCATTGTCGTGTTGCCCACAAAGCTAG